GCCATCGCTGATTGATTCAAATACCACCAGGTTCTCAACAATAAGCTAACTTTCACACTGTCGCAGCTTGAGCCAATACGAAGCACTGATTGTGCGATCATCGAACTAGCCCTAGAGACCATCATTTGAGAAAAGTCTCACAAGCTCACATCATTGGTAACTTGAGCTCAACACCATCCATGAGGGGAGTATCTTAAGTATGGTCCATTTGATCCACTCCTACTTATTGAAGTTAAAGTGAGTCAAAGTAAATAATGGTTTCGATAGACCATCCTATGAATACTTGATGAATAGAGGCAAATACAAGTTTGTTGAGGTTAAGTTCCGAATGACCCGAAGGCCCAACACTAACCTTGGATCTAGGGTTGGTTTGCTACATTAACGTGTATAAAAGAAATATAAAAACTGATAGATTCACGCAAATAGTCTTGCTTGTATTAACGCAGTAATAGTGATTACACAGAAATGGTCGAACGGTAGTTACGGTCCAAAGGCCAAGAGCTAGAATGCAATATAAGCTTGTGAGTAAATCAATGCTAACACTTACAATGAATTAAATGTTGCTATTTATACTAAATGGAGGTATGTGGGGGGTATGGGGTGCTCTAATATGATTGGTTGCCTCCCATGCCACTTGAGTCCTCCATGATCCGGCATTAACTGCAGTCGGTCACTTGAGCAACTCTCGTTCGGGATTAAGCCCAGCTAAGTCATCAATTAGGGAATAAAGTAATTGCCCAAGTGCTAATTATACCCCATTCGGGATGTGCCGAACGGGGCTTTCCGTTCGGGCTTGATGATTTTCCCTGGGCCTTCCCTTGCGTCTGGGCTTCAGGGATATTTTTGGGCCGTCGTATTGGGCCGGACCTTAATATCCCATCATAAGTCCCCCACTTACGATGTTCCGAGCGTGCTCGGGACATAAGGAAGTATAAAAAGTAATCTTTCCGCTGTTCGTTGTGACCCCGGACGGTGCTTTCTGTCAGTGTTTTCCTGCCCCTGACATGACGGTTCCATGTTCTTTGGCGACTGTCGCTTGTATTCTCCATGTAATTGTCATGATTACCTGACGTTTCGCCTCCGCGCGACACGTGTCCCTTGGAGTGTTCTTTGTGGCGTGTCCCCCTGGGATTGGTCCGCGAATCGGCGCTTTTAGGTTATAAGTGTGCCTTTGGGCCCTTGGCCCCGGGTTTCCGATTTTTGCATCTTCGTTCAAGTGCTCTGCCTTCTTCCCAAATCCCTAATTTTCACAGGCTCGCTCAGGTAATCATCCTTTGCTTTCTGCTTTTTCTTCCAGTTCGGCACAAATGTCAATAAGTCTTAGTTCTTCTGACCCCTCAATTATCGAGTCGGGTCAGAATTATGAGATTAACACCAATGTTGGTGATATGGCGGGCACTAGTGCCGCCATGGAGAATATGATCGAAGATCCCCATTCCGCTAGTGGTTCTGAGGATGCCGAACCTGGAAGTTCTTCCGATGATGCATCCAGCAGTGATTCCGACGACACTGAGTCTGACGATGATATGGCGGTGATGAAGCGTGGCCCTCCTGACGATACCCCCGTCATCATTTGGACTTGAGGCCCATTCGAAACGGAGGCAAATATTGTCCAACAAACTCAAGGCCCAAATCCCAACCCTGATTCCCAACCCGGTTGACTTCTGTCTCCATGCCGGTTTACACCCGTTGTGCCGCCGTCCTGGGATGACGCTGGTGCACCTTGACTCAATCAAGGCCGAACTTAGGTTCCCGCTACACCCCTTCTATGTTAACTTCTTCAACCACTATGGGGTAGTCTCAACCCAAATAATGCCAAATTCTTATCGGGTCATGGCTGGGTTTATTTTCCGTTGCGTGGATGTTGATGTGGTGCCTGATCTGGATGTCTTCCAACATTTGTTCAAGGTCGCTCCCCAACAAACCGACGGATGTCTACACGACCCCGGGGGGCTTTTATCATTTACATTTCTGTCTGTTTCCTGTTTTATTTCTGCAGAATAAAAGAATAAAAGCATGACGTCCCGATTCATCGGATCGTCATGAGGGGGAGAGTGGTCCACATGCTGTTAACACTGAAAAAATCATTCTGGGACACTTCTCTCCTCCTACACTCTCTCTATTATCTCCGCTACGTTCACAATTCAACTCAAATGGTCAGCTACGTTCACAATTCAACAATCATTATGTTCCGTTGTGCCACCGACAAGTTCTCCTCAAAAACATTCATTTCAAATAGTCAAAAAGACTACATTGTGGAGGAGACAAAGGTCAAATAATCGTGTCCTGAAGATGAATTCCATGGGCGTCTCCTATTCTCCAAAGAATATTCATTCTACAGGCGTCACCGGACTTCATCCAAGTTGATCAAGAGCAACTTCTGGAAGGCATGGACTACATGCAAGATATTGAAGATTCCTCAACCCCCGGCATCAAAGATCAAATTGTCAAGAAGACATCAAAGGGGAGATTGCAAGGATTTCTTCAGATAGCCTTCCTCAGAAGTCAAGTTCAAAGACAAAGGAGGCTCAATAACAACAAAGACAAAGATATCTGCGCTGCAATGCTGATTCAACACGATTGATCACCAAGGGGGAGATTGTTGGGAATATTTTATGGTGTTCAATCTAGTTAGTTATCTTTGTATTTGTGTAGTTATCAATTAAACGTGTAATACGGGCCACAAATGTGTATCAGCCCGTGGGCTTCCTTGTAACCCGTAAGTTAGCTAACTTCTCCTATAAAAGGAGGCTAACTTACGGGAACCCTAACTAATCGATAGAGGCTTAGAGAGCAGAGGCGTAAAGATAGAGAGTAGGGTTTCCGTTGCTCTCCTTCTCCAGGGAGAGCAGCGGGGTTTTATACGGTATACCAGATTCGGTTCATCTTCTCGATCTCTTTCTATCTGCTTCTTTATCACTGCTATGGTTGTATGATTGTTAGTATTCTGGGATTATCAGTTTTAAATATGAGAAGCTTCTCCAATTTTTTGTATGTGGTATCATTGGTCATGTGGATAAACTACGTCCCCTTTAGAGCATCTCCAATGGAAGGGTGGATTGTAGTGATGTGACATAGGAGAGAGATAGAGATAGAATGAATATTTGAATGAAGTGGTGTGTATGGAAAAATGAAAGAGAGGAGAGAGATAGAGATAAAAAGTAGACATAAATCTATGACAAGGTCCATAAATGGACCTTACACGGGATTCGATGAGGAAAAGTTGATAAAAAGTGAGTTAAAAGTGATATAAAAAAATGAAAATAAAAATAAATTAGGAAATATGTGAGTCCTACACATAAAAATTGTGAGATAAAAAATGAGACTCATGTGTAAGGGTGTATAAGAGACCACACCCTTGCATTGGAGATGCTCTTAATGTGGTCAGGCACGGAAGCAAAAGTGCAAACCCGTGTGTGCTAGATGTGTGCAAATTATGGAAAAGGAAGGACTAGGTGGTTAGTTCAAGAAAAAATGAGAAGAGAGAGTGACAAGCAGAGGGGAGTAGATAGAAGTACGCCTGAGTCTTTACTCATTAATTGGGTTACAAATCCATACGTCTTAGGTCATCTCCAACATTTTACATCATTTTGTACACTAAAATGGTGTAAACATCACATCATATAGTATTTATCTCCAACAGTTTACACCATTTTCATCACCAAAAAGGAATATTCCCTTTTTATTCTTTTTACTAACTTTTTACCATTCTTCTATTTAAGGATCTAATTATCATATATTTATACAGTAGCTCCTCATTTAATATTTTGACATTTCACACATTATTTCACACATACAAACTAAAATACACCATATTAATATGTATTTTCATGCATTTCACTAATTAAAATACAAGTACTTCCGAAAAAGATATTGTAAGTATAATATAATTTTAATTTTCATTAATATATTTATTTTTATGTAATACAAATTTATTTTTATGATTTGCAGCTGGATCGTGCCAAAGTTTTATTTATGCAAGATCAAAATTTTCTAAAGGTTTTAAATTTGATCGTGTTTGGGATATGATTAAAAATTTTGAAAAATTTAAAGATAATGTGTCAAGATAATGGTGTTTATAATTGTAATTTTAATTATGTAATTTTCTTAAGTATCATTTGTATTCTGTTATTATGTTGTTTGGATTTGAAACTTTATTTATAATATTGTGTGATTTAAATTTTATTATATTTTTTTATTTTCTATCAAATTAATAATTTTAATTACTTGTTCTATAAGGATGATTTTACTTGGACTCAATTTGTCTCAGATCAGATCAGACCGGATTAGATCAAACTTGGGTAGTTATAAAAATACAAAGAAATCTGACCTGACCACATCAGTTCAGACCAGACCAAATCATACCAGACCAGAGCAGACCAGCAAATTTCAGTCCAAGTAAAAACATCTTAATTTGTTGTTTTAAAAATGGGTCAAAACTATAACAATCAAAACTTTGGATCACTTTTGAAATAAAAAATAAAATAAAAAAAGATGATGGTGTGAGATTTGGTGTACGCCATATATGGCGTAAAGTTTACCCCTCTCCCTCAAAATGGTGTAATGGTGTAAGATATAGTGTAGCTGTTGGAGCATTTTTTTTGCTCAATTTGGTGTGGGATTTGGTACTTGTTGGAGTTGCGTATGCTAATAGCCTAAATAACATGTGCCATGACCCGTATTTGGTTAATGCTAAACACAATTTCATAAAATGGATAGAATTGCGAGTATCAACGATTTTTTCCTGATTTGAAAACATCTTTATATGTTTTTTAAATTCCAAATTGTATACAAATCAAATAGGATTTGTGATTTTGAAATCTTTAATTGTAAAATCATACAATTTTAATCATGATTTTAATAAGTTTGCTTTTACGACACATTGCCCATAGTAAATGGGAGTTAAACTTTGAAATGTACCACCAGCTAAGAAAATACTACATCCGTTCCATCTTATGTGTCATATTTTGGTTTGACACAATTATTAATAAAATGGTTATAAAATTAAAAAAATGTGATTGAGATTTGAGTATATTAAAATGAAATATTTTAGACCACGTATTTCTTTCCAAAAAAAGAAATGTTACACTTATTTTGGGATAACACAAAAGGACCAAATTTTGAAATGTACTGTCAGCCAAGGAAGTAAAAGAAAGCATTTTCCCTTTATTCTCCGACACTACAGAAACCTATTCGTATGTTTAGGATTATATAACTGTGAAGCCACATTTCCTTCAACAAATCACCTCGGGTGTTCTCATTTGAAAAGGTTTCTCAGCCCATCAAAAATCTGAAGCGCCCGTAGTTCACCACTCCTCATATTCCTCAATCGACTCCTCAATATCTAAGGAAAAGCGACCAAAATAATTAAATAAAAAGGGAAAAATAATTCAAATACTCCATACTTGTACATGTACTCCCTCCGTCCCTTAAAACTTTAAAAACTTTCTTTTTTTGGATGTCTCATTAACTTTGTCATTTTCCCTTTTAAGTAAAGAATTTGTGATTCCAATTAATTTTCTCTCCTCTGCACAAACATTTACCACACAATTCTTACTTTATTAATTTTCGAGTCAGTCAAACTTGTCGAAGTTTTAAGGGACGGAGGTAGTAATATATATTGATGGTGTTATGAGACTAGGCCCAGAGCCTAATCGGCCCAGGCCCCGAACTTGGACCAGCGGGCCCAAGCCCAGCAACCCAGAGCTCGAGTCAGCCCAACCAACCAGGGAAATCAGGGAGCCTGCGGTCCAGCCTACCCGGGAGCCTGCCTTCCAGCCCAGTGGGGAGCCCGCCTTCCAGCCTAGCCAGGAGCCTGCCGACCACCAGCCCAGCTGGGAGCATGCGGTCCAGCCCAACTGGGAGCCTGCGGTCCAGCCTACCCGGGAGCCCGCCTTCCAGCCTAGCCAGGAGCCTGCCGACCACCAGCCCAGCTGGGAGCCTGCGGTCCAGCCCAACTGGGAGCCTGCGGTCCAGCCTACCCGGGAGCCTGCCTTCCAGCCTAGCCAGGAGCCTGCCGACCACCAGCCCAGCTGGGAGCCTACGGTCCAGCCCAACTGGGAGCCTGCGGTCCAGCCTACCCGGGAGCCTGCCTTCCAGCCCAGTGGGGAGCCTACCTTCCAGCCTAGCCAGGAGCCTGCCGACCACCAGCCCAGCTGGGAGCCTGCGGTCCAGCCCAACTGGAAGCCTGCGGTCCAGCCTACCCGGGAGCCTACCTTCCAGCCTACCCGGGAGCCTGCCTCCAGCCCGGTCAGAAGCCTTCGTCCAGCCTAGCGGGAAGCCCACCATCCAGTCCAGCAGGAGGGAGCTCAAGCGTCCAGCCTGCCAGCCAGGCTGACCTGCCAGCCAAGAAGAGTAACGGCCAACAATTAATGCGCGACTTAATTATGTGTTTAATTCTGTATTAATGTTGTAATTAATTAGTCATTATTATCGGTAACGGTTACGATTTGTATACGCCTATAAAAGGCGGGTTGTAATTCAGATTAGGGAAGCGAATTCTATATGCTATTTCTGGCTAACTTTCCATATTCGTACTTTCCTAATTCTTGCTTGAGTGTCGTACGTAGCTTTCCTAAAAGCCTACGAGCGTCCTATTTTGGACCAACATTGGTGCTTTCATTGAGAGCCTCTATTGTCTCTCACATAACTTGAGCAGGAATCACACAGGAAGATGGCTGGAATCTCGTCTCGACGTGACCATGTCTCAGTCCACACCGAGGAGTCCGCCCGGTCTGGCCGCCAGCGTGCCCTCGACAACCATGCACAGGGCAGGAGGGCGGCGCGCCAAGGCGACCTTCGGAACCAATTATCAGGCCACGGCGACCTAAGGGCGACGCTCAACCACACTCAAGGTGAGCGCTCGGTCCGCAGCCGGCGGGGGGGAGGCCGACGTCATGCTCCGCGCATGGACCCAGCTCGACTCAATGCCGGGGTGGAAGCTCTGCAGGAGGCAACTCGGGTTCTGGGGACCTTGGCTCAAAATTTCCAACAGATGGTGTCTGGCGGAAATGCGGATGAGCCTGCCCGTCAACAGACGCCAGCGGATGTGGAGGTGTCCTCCAGGCGGCGTGATGAGCGACGCTCTGGATCCAACCAAAACAGGGGGGAAGAAGTCTCCCATCGGCGGGGGGAAGAAGTCTCTCAGCAGCCTAGCCGACCCCATCGGCAGACGGGGAGGGGCGCCCAGCAGGGGCGCCCAACGCAGATGGAAGGAGGCGAGCCCTCTCGCCACTCTCACCGGGCGAGCAGTCGGACTGGCTCCACGGAGAGGCAAAACGTGGGGCCCCGACCTCACGTGCACGGACGACTTGGAGGTGCCGCCGGACATGTTCAGCCCCGCGCTAGAGCTGTCCGGGGGAACCCACCGCCGGCCGAGGTGGAAGATCTACGACAGCGCCTTGACGAGTTGAGAAGGAGGGTCGTCGGGGGGGAGCCCTACACGGCCGACCTCCGGATACCCGAACCCTTCACCTGGGCGGTCATGGATGCGTCGTTGCCGAGGGGCTACAAGCCATGCGCCATTGAAGCATACAAGGGCGCTTCTGACCCCCAGCATCATGTATCTCAGTACCTTTCCTACATGGTCATGATGGGGTACGAGGACGCAATCCGATGCCGCGGTTTCTCCGCCACTTTGGATGGCCCGGCTCGTGAATGGTATGACTCTCTACCCGACGGGAGTATCACGAATTTCCGTGAGTTGGCTCAGCGCTTTCTCTTGAGGTTCGCGAGCTCCCGAGACGTCAAGAAAAACTTCAGCCACCTGTTCGGCCTAAAACAGGGGAAGAAAGAATCATTGTCGACCTTCCTAGCGAGGTGGAGGGCCGAGTCAGTCAAGGTTCAGGGCCTTGATGACAGGACCGGGGTGGCCATGCTCACAAACTCTATCCGATCGGGTGAGCTTTACAAAGATTTCGTCAGAAGTCCCCCTACCTCGTACGAGGAGGCGCTCGGCCGTGCCGACCGGCAAGCCGAGGCGGAGGACGCCTTGCAGAGGAAAAGAGATGAGGAAGAAGGTGCGAAAGAAGAAAAGAAGAAGGAAGCCGGTTCGGGTGCTGAGAAAGCTGACGGCAAAGCTAACAACAAAAACAACAAGTACAGAGGTAACAAAAGTAGAGGCAAGGGCAAGGCGGACGTCCAGAGCGGACCGCTACAGCCCGTCAAGCAATTGACTCCACTTGCTCAGCCGGTCGGGGCCATCCTCGACTACGCGGAGGAGCAAGGTTTAGTCGAATTTCCGGAGGAGTGTGATGTGGTGACTGCCAAGCGCAACCACGACCAATATTGTCGATTCCATCGGAGAGCAGGGCATGATACAGATGATTGCGTCATTCTCCGGCGGCAAATTGAAGAACTCATCCAGAAAGGGTACCTGGGCCAATTCGTTGGCAAACAAGGAGGCATCCCGCAGAAGAGGAGCCTCACGTGGCAGCGGTCCGACCAAGCTACCACGTCAAAGGAGACACCGCCTGCCAAGAAGCGGGAGCTCGGTGCCTTCTCCGAGGAAGACGATGCCGACCTAGGGAACGGCCCCCGAAAGTACCATCGATGTTCATTCATATTCGGGGGACCCCAGGGAGGCGACACATCTGGAGAGCGGAAGCAGTGGGCCCGAGCCCTATACGTCGGGGAGATAACCAGGGCTCCCGCCGACAAGAGGGTGAAGAGGGACCCCATCTTCTTCACCGACGCAGATTTGCCACCGATGCCTCCGCCGCACAGGGATGCCTTGGTCATCAAGGTCGAAATCAACAACACGATCGTCCACCGAGTCCTGGTGGACAATGGGAGCTCCGTTAACATCATGTACTATGACACCTTCCAAGGTCTCGGGCTGGACCGAAAAGACTTGATCCCGGTGAGAACCCCACTCTCGGGCTTCACCGGGGACTCCATTGAGTCGGAGGGCAGCATAGTCCTCCCCGTGATGGTGGGCTCCGAGCCCTGCGTATCCAAGTTAGACGTCGAGTTTATCGTCGTACGCCTAACTTGTGCGCATAAGATCATCATGGGAAGGCCGGCCCTGGAAGACCTCAGATGTGTGATATCCCAGGAGCACCTATGCATGAAGTTTCCCACTCCGAATGGCGTCGGAGTCGCCAGGGGAGATCAGCGAATGGCGAGGAGCTGCTATCTGAAAGCTTGCAAACAAATCGGTCAAAAAGACTTGAGGATCCACACTATCAACAGCAAAGCCATGAAGTATGAGGAGGGTCAGCTCCGCGCTGAACCCACCTCAGACGTGGAGGAGATCCAGATTGACCCTGAGAGGCCGGAGCGGAAGGTCAAGATCGGGACCGAGCTCCCAGCCGGCTTGAGGGAGAAGATTATCCAGGTACTTGTCCTTTTTAGCGTTGTCTTCGCGTGGGGACCGGAGGACATTCCTGGCCTTGACCGAAGCATCGCTGTCCATCGGCTGGCGGTCAATCCAACGGCGAAGCCCATCCAGCAGAAAAGAAGACACCTCTCAACCGAGAGGAGGGAATTCGTGAAGAAGGAGGTCAACATGCTCCTGAGTATCAAGCATATCCGGGAGGTCTTGTACCCGGTCTGGCTGGCAAACGTGGTCCTCGCCCCGAAGCCGCCAACCTGGAGGATGTGTGTTGATTACACCGATCTCAACAAGGCATGTCCGATGGATCCATTCCCATTGCCTAACATCGACCAACTAGTCGATGGGACGGCCGGATGTGAGCTCCTTAGCTTCATGGACGCTTTTCGAGGATACCATCAGATTTTCATGCATGAAGAAGATGCGGAGAAGACCTCGTTCGTCACCCCAGAGGGGATTTTTTGTTATCTTGTCATGGCCTTCGGGCTGAAGAACTCAGGGGCGACGTACACGAGGATGGTGGCCAAGGTATTCCGGAAGGTGCTCGGAAGGAACATGGAGGCGTATGTTGACGACATGATCGTCAAGAGCACCCGGGCGTCCGATCATGCAGAAGATTTGGCAGAGATCTTCGGGATCATGAAGGCAGTCCGTCTGCGCCTGAACCCGAAGAAATGTACCTTTGCCGTCCAAGGAGGCAAGTTCCTGGGGTACATGGTCACACGGAGGGGGATTGAGCCAAATCCTGAGAAGGTAAGGGCAATAATTGACATGGAACCCCCGAGGTCAGTGAAAGAAGTCCAGATTCTCACCGGCCGGCTAGCAGCCCTCGGACGCTTCATGTCCAAGTCCGCCGAAAGGTCCCTACCCTTCTTCCAGGTCCTAAAGAAACAAAATGGTTTCGTTTGGAATGATGAGTGTTAACGAGCCTTCGACGACCTGAAGAAGTACCTCCTCTCTGAGCCTTTACTCAGCAAGCCGGAGAGGGGGGAGACGTTAATCCTTTATCT